TCTCTCTCTCTCTCTCTCTCTCTCTCTCTCTCTCTCTCTCTCTCTCTCTCTCTCTCTCTCTCACACACACACACACACACACACACACACACGCAGACGCACACTCAAGTCGACCTCGTTTCTCAAGGGTATCACTAACCTTCGGCAAGGTGGTGAGTCCTCATCCATCAGTCCAATGCATCCTTTGCGGACTGTCGAGTTTCCTGACTAGCCGGTACGGTGTAATAGAAGGGCCTTCTGCGCTGTTAAGTGCCTCGCGTGTCTATTTCTTTGGTGTTTCCTTGTGCTGCCGGCATGCGTTCACCATTTGGCTCCCTGGCTATTGAGGGTGCTGGGTAACTGCAGGTCCCCTCACAACCAGCACCCCTCACGAGTCACAACCTTTATATAAATAAATTAATGGAAGGAAGGAAGGAACAAGGAACTGCAGAGTAGCAGGGTTTTCCATTTGGTGTGAGTAGCACATAATCTTTCTTCTGTGATCCTTACTGTAATGTGTGTCGGTTGACTTGCTGTATCTCCGTGCTGCTGCGATGTTCCCCTGTTGCCTGTGCTGTCCTGCTGCCAGCGTTGATGTCTTGCTGCTTGCACTTACATGCTCCTACTCCCCCTCTCTCCCCCGTCCTCTCTCTCTCTCTCTCTCTCGTTATCGTTTCCGGACTGTAATGACTGGTAAGTTCAGCTGCTCTTTTCTTCTTTCTGGACCCTCTTTGTTCTTCTACACCCAGCTCACCTAACCCAGAGGAGCTTCTGGATCCATGGATCCACATCCAGATCAGGATCCAGATCCAGATCCAAATCCAGATCAGCATCCAGATCCAGCGATCCAGATCCCGATCCAGATCCAGCAATCCAGATCAACGATTCTGCTGAGGTGGCTCGCTAGGCAACGTCGGGGAAGGGTTTGTCTCTTCAACAACAGGTCCATTGTTGCAACAAATACACCAGAAAGGAAGAATGTAAGTCCCATGATTGGTCGTCCTCTCACCAAACAGTTAAGTCTTAATAGTAGTTAATACGCTTGAGGGGAAAAACAAACAAACAAACAAGGAAATAAAAAAAATAATAAAAGGAAATAAAAGAAATAAAAGAAATAAAAGAAATAAAAAGAAAAGAAAAAGGAAAGGAGAAAAAAAAGAATAATAAAAGAAAACAAAAGACAAGAAAAGAAAAGAAAAGAAAAGGAAAAAAAGATGAGTCTCCTGAGGTGGTATACTATGCGACGTACTGGACCCGTTTGTAGTTTCGCCAACAGATCTAGTGTTGCAACAACACTC